GAGATAAAGTGACATTAAGATTGTAGTCCTCATATTCTCCTTGCCAATTGAACATTTAAATCTTAGATTTTATTCCCACTTAGGAAAAAGTTGTTTAACAAACGATTCAAATCGCTCATATTGGTTTGTATTACAAGGGGGTAAGCGCAGTAGTTGGAACAGTGAAACAAATGCACGTGCGGTACGTGATGTGCATCAACTTAGACTACCGTAGAAACCAACCCTCCTTGTTCTCGGTGTTTCATTTAATGTGCAAACCCCCTTGTAATACAAACCAATAATACCGATTTGAAACTATGATCGTTTGTTAAACAACTTTTATCCTAAGTTGAATAAAATTCTGAGATTTAAATTTTCAAATGGCAAGGTAAAATTATGAGGATTCGCAATCTTAATTTCACTTTATTTGATTTACCTTTTTGTTAAAAGTGAAATTCATCGGTACGTTTTCACTGCAAACAGACTATAGTAGTGAACTTTAAAAATACTAAAGACAATTTATATTGTCATATTAACTGACAAAATATGGGATGGGGTGGTCACTATAAAACAAGAAGTGAGTATTTTGGGAGGAGAATAACCTTGCACCAATACAGGAACGAACATGTCATGTGTCGCATCATTGCATGACCACCCATCACCCTAACTGACCACCCTGCAATCATCAGGTTTTCCTACTGGTTCCCCCTGTAATGAACTTATGTAACTGGTACCTGAAACCACAGTGTAGTAAGCTTTGTGTGATGTAACCTTTGTCTGATACTACGATAGTACCATGCTGAAACTAATTGATTGTATTCATGTAAAGAAAATCAATAAATACTTTCCTACACCTGTGACCATTCAGGTTAATTAGATGTGATTCTGCAGGAAGCCCTGTACATTTTACTTTTACGAGTCATGTACACTCATATGTTTTAAAATGGATGCCAAGATAAATTAAGTGGTATGCAGATGCATCCAGTTAGGGGGTTGCCCAATTTCACCCAAGAGCTATCACAAATGTTTGGACAGTTGATCCCCAATTCCAAAAGAGTGAGTGAGTGATTGAGTGGGTGGTGTGGTGGGTTTAGTTAGGTGAGTGAGTGAAGAGAGAGTGGTTTAAAGCCACTTTTAGCAATAATCCAGCAAAATCACAACAGGGTACACTAGAAGTGGGAATTGAACCCAGACCATTAGTGTGACAAGCGAGTGCTTTAACCATAAGGCCACCCCACCGGCCAGGTTCATTTAGAACGATCAAAAAGATCGCATCAAAATACATAATCAGTATCAAATGTTCCTCCAAGTCATCATAGGGCAACACAAGTAAGTCCTTCCTGCCCACAATTTAAAAAGAGAGTGAGTGAGTATGGTTTTATGCCGCTTTTAGCAATACTCCAGCAAAATCACGGTGGGGGACATCAGAAATGGGCTTCATACATTGTACCCATGTGGGGAATTGACCCGGCTCTTTGGTGTGACAAGCGAACGCTTTAACCACAAGGCTACCCCACCAGTCAAACAACATCACTGAAACAGAATCATCCATAATCTCTCTGGTCTTGCACACACAAATTGTGAATTCAACCAGTCCTTACTAGCAAAATACATATGCAAAGTTTCATAGAAATATAATTAAAGGCAGATTAAATAACATTTCTTTGATTGAATGTTTGATTGTTATTCTAAAAGTTGGTTTGTAAACATCAAACACACTTTATGGATACCAGGTAGGGGTGGGTATTGCAGAGAATTTTCATATTGCGATATATTGCGATGCGGAAGCATATATTGCGATATGTATTGCAATATATTGCAAGGATTATTCTTTTAACAAAAACTACTTATAATCGAGTTAATGCTTCATTATAAGCAAGAACACAACAAAATCACTAGGATTGATTAACCGTTTATAAAAACTTTTAATCAGGACAAAATAAAAATGTAATTAAAGGTCACATGCAACGTAAAACACAACTTTGCAGATTCTGATACCTTTCGGTATTGACTTACCGAAACAAATCGTCAAAAATGCAAATTCAACTTATAAAGTTGAAAAATAACGCGATGAAAAAAACCCCGCGAAATCGGAGTTCAAACGTTTCACTACTTTTCCCCAGACTTTTCTGGGGAATACGGGTTTCAACAGCTGGGCTGCGCTCATAGCACGTGCGCAGTGAAATAGGTTCGCGCAACTTGGAAGCGGGCTGTCTGGTGAATACTCGGTGAAGGCTTTGGTGTGAGCTATTTTTCTAATGTTTGTTGATATCTCACAGGCGCGAGCTTTTTATATGTTATGACAGTAAATAAACTGTTTATATAATTTCATTTGTCTATTTCACCACCACGGTCTTCTTACCGAGTCACTTTCTCAGTTCGATACTTAAAAGCAAATGTCATTATTTAGCGTTGACACAATTTCTAACTGTGATATAGATATGTCGCTGTCACAGACAAAACTCAATGTCTTGTTTTATTGACACCTGTGTGTCTGCCTGCCTGTCCGCTAATGACAATATTCAATACACAACTCGCGATCACTGACCACATGCAATTTGAACTTAACACCAATCAGGCTATACACCATAAACAAAGCGCATTGATTTATGGCCCGAGTTGATCTCAGTCACATTATGTAATTACACAGACAGGCAGGTGTGATACTTGAACACATGACATGTTATGATGTCTGTTGATTGCAAAATGTTATACATAAAAAATGAGCATGTATTTACAAAACCCAACATCTCTATATATACACACACAATGACCCGTGAAGACGGCATCTGCTAATGAACCAGCCGTTACACTTGAGTGCACACCCACCCGCTCTGACTGGGTTCGGTATCCCGGCTGCTTCGTTTCGAGGGAGGTAAACCCAAGTACAAAATATTGCACTTTTGATTTGCGATTATTCGCTTATAATTTTGTTTATTTGTTTTTTCATAATCAGCAATGCATATTATATGTCATGAAGAAGTGATAATTGTGTTTTAATTATGTTTGATTTTTTGGTTGCATGTGACCTTTAACTTTTGGCACTAATGAAACAGGGAAAAGATTTATTAAAAAAAACTGAAATATCCGAAGATTTCCGAGTGTTACGAAGTTTTCTGAATGCATGTCAAAATACCGGTTTTCGATCAGCGTATCACAATACGTATCATTTTCATGTCTGAACCGGTAAATACCGGTGAACCTGTTATATTGCGCAGCCCTACAAATTGGTGTGTTTGACACTGCAAGAATCTAAAATAAACAATAAATCTAAATGCATTTAAGTTTGTTATCCATTAAAGTTTGGGTTTTCTTATTTACCCCAATTTGATCTTGAAAAAATCTGCTCAATTACAAAACATCAAAGGTGAGTGAGTAAAAATGTAAAGTCACATCGGCAGTATTTCAGCCATATCGTGACTAACATCAAAGGTACCAGTCCACCACTTATGATGCGTAGACAAATTTCAGGATAAACGAAAGTCGGAACTACTTCCTTCCAGCCACCACTTCAAAATCCCTCTTTACAAAAGTGACCACCTCCGCGGTGTAGTGGTTAGAGTGTCCGCCCGGAGAGCAGAAGGTCGCGAGTTCAATCCCCCATCGCGTCACACCAAAACACATTGAAATATGGTACTTGTTGGTCCCTGCCTTGCGCTCGGCATTAATGGGTACAACAAGGACTGGTCGGCTCGGAGTCGGTATAATGTGTCTGAGTGGGGTATTCATGCTTCACTGCGGCATGGTATCTCAGTGGGCTAGCACTATAAAACCAGCTTCAGTCTGGGCTAGTACAAGCAGCCGTACATACACATACACACGCATGCACGTCGTCATATGAGCGAAATATTCTCAAGCACGACGTTAAACCTAATTTCACCTCACCTCACCTTTACAAAAGCAACAGAACTTCCAAATGTTCATGCAGCATCCAGGCGGTGGGGTAGCCTAGTGGTTAACATGTTTGCTCGTCACGCCGAAGACCCGGGTTTGATTCCCCACATGGGTACAATGTGTGAAACCCATTTCTGGTGTCCCCCGGCGTAATGTTGCTGGAATATTGCTAAAAGCGGCGTAAAACTTAACTCACTCACTCATACTAAAACCTTTGATGTCATGGTCAGATGGACCGAATCCAAACTGATCTCTCTTTCCACTTTATTGTGGGGACCTAACACCCACCCCTACCTCTCAAATTGAACAGCATTAACCCATCATGAGCCCATCTGGGACCTAACCACCCTGACGGATATTGATTAGGGTCAGTCAGAAGAGTCATCTCAAACTAGCAAGCTTTAACAAGCTGGCCAGGTATCTAAATACCCTGACAGAAGGGTCATCTCAAATTGACAGCTCACATCACTATGGTTTGGTTTGCTTGATGTTTAACGCTACAATGAGTATATTCCAGTTATATGATGTCGGTCTGAAATAATCGAGTCTGGGCCAGACAATCCACACCATGAGCATTGCTCCACGCAGTTGAGATACGATGACATGTGTCAACCAAGTCAGCGAGCCTGGCCACCCGATACCGTTAGTCGCCTCTTACGACAAGCATGGGTAGCTGAAGACCAATTCTAACCTGGATCTTCACATATTTTACCCATGTGGGTCGTCACGATATGGCTGAAATATTGCCGATGTGACGTTAAGTTTTAACTCAATCACTCACTCACCCATGTGGGGAATTGAACCCGGGTCTTCGGCATGACGAGTGAATGCTTTAACCACTTGGATACCCCATCGGCCGGCTCACTCACGCGCTCTCTCACTATTCCAGCTATATGGCGGCGATCTGTAAATAATCGAGTCAAGACCAGTCAATCCAGTGATCAACATCATGAGCATCGATCTGTGCAATTGGGAACAGATGACATGTGTCAACCAAGTGAGCGAGCCTGGCCACCCGATCCTGTTAGTCCCCTCTTACAACAAGCATGGGTTGCTGAAGACCAATTCTAACCCGGACCTTCATTTGTACATCACAATGGCTTCAAATGAAAACACACTCACCAAACTGAATCAGTCATATTTATTTACAAGCAGTCACACTCTCTGGAGAACTCTCTGCATGTAACTCTCCGTGTCGAGTCCGTTCTTGATACTGTCCAGCAACAGCTTCCTCTCAGCTACTTTAGACAAATAGCCATTGTAGAACGCCTGAGCAGACATCTTCTTTTTGAAGACAATATTCTCAAAACCCACCCAACCATTCTGAAATGAACAAATAAATTGTCAAGAGTATTCCATCTCCATTTAGTGATTTCGCTTGTTGATTGTTTGCATTCAGTGATTTCTAGCGGTGGGTATTGCAGAGTATTTTCATTTTGCGATATATTACGATGCGAAAGCATATATTGTGATATGTATTGCAATGTATTGCATGAAGTATTTTTCAACAAAAAACTACTTACAATCGAGTCAATGCTTGATTTATAAAGCATGAACACAAAAAAATCACTATGCTTGACTAAGCTTGAATAAAAACTTTTAACCATGACAAAATAAAAATGTTAATAATATTTGGCACAAATGAAACAAGGATATATCCGAAGATTTCCGAGAGTCACAAAGTTTTCCGACGGCAAGTCAAAAACCCGGTTTTTGATCAGCGTATCGCAATACATAACGATTTCATGTCTGAACCGGTAAATACCCGTAAAACGGTTACATTGCGCAGCCCTAGTGATTTTGACTTTGACTTAGATAATACATATATTTGGGGAGTATCATGGAAAAGTAGACATTTTATGATAGAACATTATGTGCAGTAAATATTTACCTTTTAGTTGAGGTTCATGAAAAAAGTACAAGGTGAGGTGAATTGAAATGGGGTTTAATGTTGTACTTGAGAATATTTCGCTCATATGAGGACTTGAATACGTGTGTATGTGTGGCTGCTTGTACTAGCCCAGACTTAAACTGCTTTTATAGTGCTAGCCCACTGAGATACCATGCCGCAGTGAAGCATGAATACCCCACTCAGACACATTATACTGACTCCGAGCCGACCAGTCCTTGTTGTACCCATTAATGCCGAGTGCCAGGCAGGGACCAACAAGTACCATATATTAACGTCTTTTGGTAAGACGCGGTCGGCAGTGACATGACTGACTGACTGAGTTTAGTTTCACACCGCTTTTAGCAATATTCCAGCAATATCACGGCGGGGGACACCAGAAATGGGCTTAAGGCAGTGACATGAGGTGGTGTGAGGTGGTGTGAGGTGAGGTGGTGTGGTGTGGTGTGAGGTGAGGTGAGGTGGTGTGAGGTGAGGTGAGGTGGTGTGAGGTGAGGTGGTGTAAGGTGAGGTGGTGTAAGGTGAGGTGAGGTGGTGTGAGGTGAGGTGAGGTGGTGTGAGGTGGTGTGAGGTGAGGTGAGGTGAGGTGGTGTGAGGTGGTGTGAGGTGAGGTGGTGTAAGGTGGTGTGAGGTGAGGTGAGGTGGGGTGGTGTGAGGTGAGGTGAGGTGGTGTGAGGTGAGGTGAGGTGAGGTGGTGTGAGGTGAGGCGAGGTGAGGTGAGGTGAGGTGAGGTGAGGTGAGGTGAGGTGAGGTGAGGTGAGGTGAGGTGAAGTGACGTGAGGTAAAATGGGTTTTACATGGGGTTAAGATGTCTCCTCTTATATACAACAAAAAGAATGCAAATGTGTGTTTGAGTGTAAGGATACTCACACCCGTTATATTGTCACCCAGAATATTGTAGGCGTTATTGTACTTCCTAAAGGACATACAGAGCTGCAGTTTAACATGGACACCCCACTCAGACAGGCCTGACTCCAAGCCAACATATCTTTCTTTATCCTCTCGGTGCCAAGGATCAGTCAGGTTAACAAACAGTACTATTTCTTTACGACTTTGGCAAGGAGTTCACGTGGGATCAAACCGCCAACCAAGAGTACAATGTCAGAAGCCCATTCCCGGTGTCTCCTGCCATGATATTGCTGGAGTATTGCTAAACGCGGCGTAGAATTAAACTCACTCACTCAATTAAGTTCCTGTTGTACCTACCTGACACCTGACACACAATATCTTCTGTTTCTTGTCAAACACGACAGTTCCTGGGGCTGCAGCAGCAGCAGCACCTGCAACATCATCAGCAAGAAATGAAGGAGTCATTGTCATTTTACTTTACAGCCACTTTTCCCAAAAGCGTTCGTAGCGCTAAGAACATCATAAAACCTATCGTAACTTTAAGACAGAACAGTGGTGTGCGTGGTGGTGCATGGTGGTGCATGGTGGTGCATGGTGGTGCATGGTGGTGTGTGGTGGTGCATAGCGGTGCTTGGTAGTGCGTGTAGTGGTGTGTGTGGTGGTGTGTGTGGTGGAACATACGTCCACCCAGGAACATACATCCACCCAGAACATGTCAACCCAGGAACATACATCCACCCAGGAACATATACATCCACAAAGGAACATACGTCCACCCTGGAACATACATCCACCCTGGAACATACGTCCACCCAGGAACATACATCCACCCAGGAACAAACGTATACTCGGAACATATGTCAACCCAGAACATACATCCACCCAGAACATCATCAACCCAGAACATATGTCCACCCAGAACATATGTCAAACCAGAATATACGTCCACCCAGTAACATACATCCACCCAGGATCATACATCCACCCAGAACATGTCAACCCAGCAACATACGTCCACCCAGGAACATATACGTCCACAAAGGAACATACGTCCACCCTGGAACATACATCCACCCTGGAACATACGTCCACCCAGGAACATATACGTCCACCCAGGAACATACGTCCACCCAGAACGTGTCAACCCAGCAACATACATCCACCCAGGAACATATACGTCCACAAAGGAACATACGTCAACCCAGGAACATGTCAACCGAGGAACATACGTCCACTCAGAACATATGTCAACCCAGTAACATAAGTCAACCCAGCAACATACATTAAGCCCAGAAAATATGTCAACCCAGGAACATACATCCACCCAGGACCATACGTCCACCCAGAACATGTCAACCCAGGAACATACGTCAACCAAGAACATACACTAAGCCCAGAAGAGACGCCAACCCCGAGACATATGTCAACCCAAGACCATACGTCCACCCAGGAACATATGTCCACCCAGAACATATGTCAACCCAGGCATATACGTCCACCCAGAACATATGTCAACCCAGGAACATGTCAACCGAGGAACATACGTCCACTCAGAACATATGTCAACCCAGGAACATACATCCACCCAGGAACATACGTCCACCCAGAACATGTCAACCCAGGAACATACGTCCACTCAGAACATATGTCAACCCAGTAACATAAGTCAACCCAGGAACATACATTAAGCCCAGAACATATGTCAACCCAGGAACATACATCCACCCAGAACATACATTAAGCCCAGAAGAGACACAAACCCTGAGACATATGTCAACCCAGGAACATACATCCACCCAGGAACATACGTCCACCCAGAACATACGTTCACCCAGAACATATGTCAACCCAGGAACATACGTCAACCCAGCAACATACGTCCACCCAGGAACATACGTCCACCCAGAACATATGTCAACCCAGGAACATACGTCAACCCAGGAACATACGACCACCCAGGAACATACGTCAACCCAGAAAATATGTCAACCCAGAACACGTCAACCGAGGAACATACTTCCACCCAGAACATCATCAACCCAGAACATATGTCAATCCAGAACATGTCAACCCAGGAACATACTTCCACCCAGAACATCATCAACCCGGAACATATGTCAACCCAGAACATGTCAACCCAGGAACATACTTCCACCCAGAACATATGTCAACCCAGAAAATATGTCAACCCAGGAATATACGTCCACCCTGAACATCATCAAACCAGGAACATACATCCACCCAGAACATAAGTCAACAGAGGAACATGCGTCCACTCAGAACATGTGTCAACCAAGTAACATAAGTCAACCCAGCAACATACATCCACACAGAACATACGTCCACCCAGAACATATGTCAACCCAGGAACATACATCCACCCAGGACAATACGTCCACCCAGAACATCATCAACCTGGAACATACGTCCACCCAGCACATATGTCAACCCAGAACATATGTCAACCGAGGAACATACATCCACCCATGAACATACGTCCACCCAGAACATCATCAACCTGGAACATACGTCCACCCAGCACATATGTCAACCCAGAACATATGTCAACCGAGGAACATACATCCACTCAGAACATGTGTCAACCAAGTAACATAAGTCAACCCAGCAACATACATCCACACAGAACATACGTCCACCCAGAACATAAGTCAACCCAGGAACATACATCCACTCAGAACATATGTCAACCCAGGAACATACATCCACCCAGGACCATATGTCCACCCAGAACATCATCAACCTGGAACATACGTCCACCCAGCACATATGTCAACCCAGAACATATGTCAACCGAGGAACATACATCCACTCAGAACATATGTCAACCCAGAACATATGTCAACAGAGGAACATACATCCACTCAGAACATATGTCAACCCAGGAACATATGTCAACCCAGGAACATACATCAACCCAGAACATCATCAACCTGGAACATATGTCAACCCAGGACATATGTCAACCCAAGAACATACATCCACCCAGAACATATGTCCACCCAGAACATATGTCAACCCAGGAACATACGTCAACCCAGGATCATACGTCCACTCAGAACATATGTCAACCCAGAACATACATCAACCCAGAACATATGTCCACCCAGAACATATGTCAACCAGGAACATACGTCCAACCAGGAACATACATCAAAAGAACATATGTCAACCCAGGAACATATACGTCCACCCAGGAACATATACGTCGAAACCAGGAACATACGTCCACCCAGAACATATGTCAACCCAGAACATATGTCCACCCACAACATATGTCAAACCAGAACATACGTCAACACAGAACATACGTCAACCCACACATACCTTCACCAACTATGTTCATGTCTAGTAGCTTCACAGGATATCCGTTCAACTCACTACGCAGAGGCATCTGAAATCATGTCATGGACCGTCTATCACATTTGGTACTCGACAGTTCTTCAAAAACAAAATTGCACAGCTCAGAAATCTAAGTATCATAGCCATGTTATTTAATGTTATACACCCTGGACCCATGTTATTTAATGTTATACACCCTGGACCCATGTTATTTAATGTTATACACCCTGGACCAATGTTATTTAATGTTATACACCCTGGACCCATGTTATTTAATGTTATACACCCTGGACCAATGTTATTTAATGTTATACACCCTGGACCCATGTTATTTAATGTTATATACCCTGGACCAATGTTATTTAATGTTATACACCCTGGACGAATGTTATTTAATGTTATACACCCTGGACCCATGTTATTTAATGTTATACACCCTGGACCCATGTTATTTAATGTTATACACCCTGGACTAATGTTATTTAATGTTATACACCCTGGACCCATGTTATTTAATGTTATACACCCTGGAGAGAGAGTGAACATTAGTCTGAGAGAGTGAACTTTAGTCTGAGAGAGTGAACATTACCTGAGAGAGTGAACATTAGTCTGGGAACTAAACAGCCTGAGAGAGTGAACATTAGTCTGGGAACTAAACAGCCTTAGAGAGTGAACATTAGTCTGCGAACTGAACAGCCTGAGAGAGTGAACATTAGTCTGCAAACTAAACAGCCTGAGAGAGTGAACATTAGTCTGCGAACTGAACAGCCTGAGAGAGTGAACATTAGTCTGCAAACTAAACAGCCTGAGAGAGTGAACATTAGTCTGAGAGAGTGAACATTAGTCTGAGAACTAAACAGCCTGAGAGATTGAATATGGAGTGATGGAAACCACACAACCTCCTCACCATATGGCTGAGAGCTCTGTACTGAGCCTGTATTTCCTCCATGGTCTGTCGGTCCCAGTCAATGTACGCCATGGCTGGTCGCACCTTGTGTGCTGGAAAACAGGAGTGAAAGGGTCAGCAAGTGGAGCAAGTGGTTCAGCTGTATGTGTGAGAGTGTGTGTGTCTAGCTGTCTCCTTCTCTGTGTGAGTGTGTGTCTGTCTCCATCTGAGTATGTGTATGTATGTCTGTCTGTCCCCCCCTCTGTGTAACTGTGTGTGTCCCCTCTTTCTGTGTGTCAGTCTGTCTCCCTCTATTTGTGTGTGTGTGTCTGTCTCCCTCTGTGTGAGTCCCTGTCTGTGTGTGTCAGTCCCACTCTGTGTGTCCTCTGTGTGTATGTATGTCTGTCTCCCTCTCTGTGTGAGTGTGTGTCCACCTGTGTGTCTCTGTCCCTCTGTCTGTGTGTATGTCTGTCTCCCTGTTTGTTTGTGTGTGTATGTCTGTCTGTCTCCCTCTCTGTGAGTGTGTCCCTCTGTCTGTGTGTCAATCTGTGTGTGACTCAGTCCCTCTGTCTGTGTGTATGTCTGTCTCCCTCTGTTTGTGTGTGTATGTCTGTCTTCCTCTCAATGTGATTGTGTCTCTCTCCCTTTGTGTGTGTCCCTCTGTGTGTGATTGTCTGTCTCCCTCTTTGTGTGAGTGTGTCTGTCTGTCTCCCTCTCCATGTGTATGTCCCTCTGTGTGTGTCTGTCTGTCTCCCTCTCTGTGTGAGTGTGTGTGTACCTGTCTGTGGGTGTCTGTATTCCTCTGTGTGTGTGTCTCCTGTCTGTGCATGTGTCTCCCTATGTGTGTGTCTGTCTGTCCCCCTCTCTGTGTGAGTGTGTGTCTGTCTGTCTGTGTGTCACTCTGTCTCTGTGTGAGTGTGTGTATCCCTCTGTCTCTCTGTGTCTGTCTCCCTCTGTGTGTGTGTCCCTGTCTGTGCGTGTGTCTCCCTCTGTGTGGATACACACACTCACACAGAGACAGTGACACACAAACAGAGACACACTCACACAGAGAGGGAGACAGACAGACACACAGAGGGAGACACACGCACAGACAGATGGACACACAGAGGGAGACAGACACAGAGAGACAGAGGGATACATACACTCACACAGAGACAGAGTGACACACAGACAGACACACACTCACACAGAGAGGGGGACAGACAGACACACACAGCCTGTATATAATTGAGTCACATCAAAATACACAAAGAGATCAAAGTATGAATATCTGCTAATTATTAATGCAATGTGTGTTTAGGCAATTTCAAAGCTTTATGACGGCAAATTATTAATGCAATGTGTGTTTAAGCAATTTCAAAGCTTTATGACGGCAAATTATCAATGCAATATGCATTTAAGCAATTTTCTAGCTTTATGGTGGCAAATTTTTAATGTAATGTGTGCTTTAGCAATTTTCTAGCTTTATGATGGCAGTCAGTAAATAAACAAGTCTGTGTCAGTCAATCCAGTGATACATGTTATGAGCAAAATATGCTGTCCTTGCAGGATGACTCCCAATCAACAAAGGGTGGTGGGGTAGCCTAGTGGTTAAAGTGTTCGCTCGTCACGCCGATGACATGGGTTCGATTCCCCACATGGGTACAATGTGTGAAGCCCATTTCTTGTGCTCCCCAGAGTGATATTGCTGGAATATTGCTAAAAGTGGCGCAAAACTAAATTAACTCAATCAAGCAAGAGACAGAGTCTGCCGACTAGCTCATTCACTTAGAGACCTCTCATGAACTGCTCAGGATACTATGGAAACATTCCAACCCAGATTTCATGGTTTCACATATTTGACAATAGGTAGTTAAGGGTCTAAGCTCATAAAGATTTCATGAGTAGGTTTCACATATTTGACAAAGCTATCCTTGGGGTGTAAGCTAATCTAGATTTCATGGGTAGGTTTCACATATTTGACAACAGCTATCCTGGAGGAGTAGGCTAATCCAGATTTCATGGGTAGGTTTCACATATTTGACAACAGCTATCCTGGAGGAGTAGGCTAATCTGGATTTCATGGGTAGGTTTCACATATTTGACAACAGCTATCCTGGGGGCGTGGCTAATCCAGATTTCATGGGTAGGTTTCACATATTTGACAACAGCTATCCTGGGGGCGTAGGCTAATCCAGATTTCATGGGTAGGTTTCACATATTTGACAACAGCTATCCTGGGGGAGTAGGCTAATCTGGATTTCATGGGTAGGTTTCACATATTTGACAACAGCTATCCTGGAGGAGTAGGCTAATCCAGATTTCATGGGTAGGTTTCACATATTTGACAACAGCTATCCTGGAGGAGTAGGCTAATCCAGATTTCATGGGTAGGTTTCACATATTTGACAACAGCTATCCTGGGGGCGTAGGCTAATCTGGATTTCATGGGTAGGTTTCACATATTTGACAACAGCTATCCTGGGGGCGTAGGCTAATCTGGATTTCATGGGTAGGTTTCACATATTTGACAACAGCTATCCTGGGGGCGTAGGCTAATCTGGATTTCATTGGTAGGTTTCACATATTTGACAACAGCTATCCTGGGGATGTAAGCTAATCCAGATTTCATGGGTAGGTTTCACATATTTGACAACAGCTATCCTGGGGATGTAAGCTAATCCAGATTTCATGGGTAGGTTTCACATATTTGACTACAGCTATCCTGGGGGCGTAGGCTAATCCAGATTTCATGGGTAGGTTTCACATATTTGACAACAGCTATCCTGGGGGCGTAGGCTAATCCAGATTTCATGGGTAGGTTTCACATATTTGACAACAGCTATCCTGGGGGTGTAGGCTAATCCAGATTTCATGGGTAGGTTTCACATATTTGACAACAGCTATCCTGGGGGTGTAGGCTAATCCAGATTTCATGGGTAGGTTTCACATATTTGACAACAGCTATCCTGGGGGTGTAGGATAGTCCAGATTTCATGGGTAGGTTTCACATATTTGACAACAGCTATCCTGGGGGCGTAGGCTAATCCAGATTTCATGGGTAGGTTTCACATATTTGACAACAGCTATCCTGGGGGCATAGGCTAATCCAGATTTCCGGGTAGGTTTCACATATTTGACAACAGCTATCCTGGGGGTGTAAGCTAATCCAGATTTCATGGGTAGGTTTCACATATTTGACAACAGCTATCCTGGGGGTGTAAGCTAATCCAGATTTCATGGGTAGGTTTCACATATTTGACAACAGCTATCCTGGGGGCGTAGGCTAATCTGGATTTCATGGGTAGGTTTCACATATTTGACAACAGCTATCCTGGGGGTGTAGGCTGGTCCAGATTACTGGTTTGAAAAACGCACCATAGGTCACTCCATCTTTCACTTGTTCCTTCTCCTGGATGGTTGAGAGGGTCCCCAGAGTCCTCAACAGCTGCAACAACAGCAGACATTGTGAACAACATCAGCCACTGATAATTCATTCAGACACTGAACAACCGCAGACATTGTGAACAACAACAGCAAACAGACAATTCATTCAGACACTGAACAACCGCAGACATTGTGAACAACAGCAGCAAACACAGACAATTCATTCAGACACTGAACAACCGCAGACATTGTGAACAACAACAGCAAACAGACAATTCATTCAGACACTGAACAACCGCAGACATTGTGAACAACAGCAGCAAACACAGACAATTCATTCAGACACTGAACAACCGCAGACATTGTGAACAACAACAGCAAACAGACAATTCATTCAGACACTGAACAACCGCAGACATTGTTAACAACATCAGGCACTCAGCAACAGCAAATATGGTGGACAGTTTGTTTGTTAGCAGTTCAACTCAGCAATATTCCTGCAATAATAGGCAGCAGTCTGTAAATAATCAAATCTTGATCACACAATCCAGTGATTAACAGCATGGGCATCGGACTACATAATTCGGATACGATGACATTTGTCAATCAAGTCAGCAAGCCTGACCACCAGTGTTTCCAATACTTCAATTTGCCAGTTGGGCATCAGGGTCTGTAAAAAAGATTTGGTTCCCCCTAGTAAAAGTTCCACCGGAACTTTTCAATCAAATATTTGTTCCTGTAATAGTGCATGCGGAACAAATATTTTGTTCCGCACACACAGAATTTATTCCGGGCAAATAGGAAATTCCACACACATCCTAAAGTGTCTAAAAGAGGGTTTTGTTTGTAGGGGTAGTCTTAAAAATTGGGGTATGTTTTATTTTGGGGGGAAGGAATGGAAAGGAAGAAAGGATTTCTCCTACGGCATTTGTTCCATATGGAACAAATCCTGTGGCTATCAAGAAGCAATCATCATGTGTGAAAGTTCCTTAAAAAAGACTAAATACAGTATTGTTCTGATTGGCATCATTTGTCTTTATTTTGGACATTGGTTTCATCTCATCTGACTGCATACATGTGTAGATAAACCTAATGAAAATACTCATAAATACTACTATGTCTCTTTTTATCATGACACTTTCTTCTTGGTCTGCTATTTTCTACGGTCATTATGGAAATAGATTCCCCAGAATCTGAACTGAGGATTCTGTATGTATCTTGTGTTAAAAACAGTTCACTTTCACTGACGTCTGTGGAAAGAAGTAGAAAAGGGGGTTCAACCACGTTGCAGGTTGCATCCATCTGCTCACCTTCAATAGTTTCAGCTACATCTACCATGTCAATCTCTTCTTGTGATGCATTTTCGACTTGCACAACTTCACTGTTCAAATTCTTATCATTTTGAGGACTACATGTTGCTGCTGGTTCATGATATTTCTTGATATTCATTTGTTTGTATGAGCTGATAAAACAACCTTCCATAGAGCTGACTTGATACGTATCCTCTCGGGGTTTTCCTGATATCATGTAGGGTCCATTCCATTTCACTTTAATAAGTCCTTTTTGTCTCTTTCGCGATTTCACCATCACTTTGTCACCTACTGTAAACTTTTGTGCTTCCACTCTGTGGCATCTGTCAAAATGCTTCTTCTGAATTTGTTGAGCCTTTTCATTATTGCTCAAAACAGTCTCTGTAATTTGAGACTTCATGTCTTGTATTATCTGAACACACTTCTCAATCTCTTGTTCACTGTAGGCCTGAAATTTAGCACTTGTGGAAGCAGTTTCCCCAAGACAATTTTCATTAGGCAATACTGGATTACGCCAAAACATCAAATAAAATGGGCGAAAACTGCGTCGATGAATGTTTAGACGTGTTGTAAGCGAATAAACATCCAAGAATGAATTGTTCCCACTTACTCGGTTCATTCTGCACAACCTTATTCAACATGTTCTTTAATGTCTGGTTGAGTCTTTCACACTTTCCATTGGATTGAGGATGGAATGGACTGGTATGAATATGTTTATACCCATATACCTTTGCCAACTCTCTCATCAACGAAGAGTTAAATTCTCCTCCATTATCACTTACAATTTCCAGTGGTACACCAAACATGCAAAACATGTCATGAAGACATTTGGCAACATTAACACTTTCTTTTGAAGGTATGGGTACCGCTTGGGCATAATTAGTAAAATAGTCAATTACAGTCAACACATAACCTGCTTCAGACAATGGCTCATTTTTGTCTTTCATGAAGGGGCCAATAAGGTACCTATCCTTCCCATGCCCAAGATGGTATTGGAATTGGATTCATTTCACTCGGTGTTGTTTTGCACTTCTTGTTGGTTTTCTGAAACTCTTCACATGTCCTGACATAGTCTCTGACATCCTTATAGGACCCTTTCCAGTAGTACCTCTCAGCCACTTTAGAATACGTCTTGTCCATCCCCAAATGGGAAGCTGAAATTGTAAAGATAAAAGTACAGTGGGTAATGCATTATTATAATTATCATTAATATTAAGCACCCCCCAAATCCAAATAAACAGCATGACAATATTTGATAATATGCATTCACTTCGTGGCATTTCACCTCTCTTTAAAATATGTACATCTATTTCAAAATATTATTTCAAGAATGTATGTATAATATCTACATGTCATTGATTTAGCTTATGATGATATAATCTGTACACATGTAAAAAGTACAGTATGTATCAGGTGATAATGGTCCTGATCGAAATCCGGACATTACTGAAGAATAGTTCAAATATCCTTCGATTATAATTTGATGTATACTAGTAGTTTGGGTAAACTTACAGTGATCAATATGGCACATCCTCATTGTTGCCAATTTCTGATCATCAGTTATGACAAGCTTCAATGGAGCTGATATATCTTTGATGTCGTCCGATACATAGTACAATGAAGCTTCGCGAAACATGAAGTGCTTAGCCGTCTTCCTTATTCTCCTTTTTTCGTTTTCTGTGGCATTTTCCTTGTATTTGTTTTCACAAATATACTGTATTGGAGCTGTGTATTCCCCTGTCTCCATGTTGCACCTTCCTGCTGTGTGGCACATGCCCGCTTGTTAACTTGGTTTTCATCTTGATGTAACATGTTTCATGTGTATTTCGTGCTAGAGAGATCCCGGATGTTGACAAGTTGGACGAGTCCATTTTGCATTCAATAATGACTGGAGTTGGTTAGGCCTACGGTATTTGTTCCTGTTGGATGGAACATTTGCCGTGTGTGCGGAATTATTATTCGTGTCATCCGTTCACTATTTCACGGCATTTATTCCGAAACGGAACTTTTACTACTCGGAACTAAATCATGTTTACACTGCTGCCTGAAGGCTTTAAAATCTACAGGCCCTGAATGAAATCTGCAGGCCCATTTTGTTAAAGTCAAACCAATAAAAACACAATAGACTACACTGTATACCGTTTCACACCATTTCTACAAAATCAATTAGCGAAACCTATGGCACAGAGAGATGTTTTTATTTGTTAAAGACTGGTGTTGACATTCCTATGTGCTTTATTTTAGCACAGAAATACCAGAGAGTGAAACTGTAAGTTATCGTAACATGATTGATCATGGATGATTCCCAAACGTTAATAAAGTAAAAAATGGAAAAGGTTCCAGTTGAAAATAAGAGACAGATAATTAACTGAAGGCCACAAGGGCCTGCAAATATTTGAAACTGCCGGCCCGATACAATAACAACCGGCACTGGGCCTCCGGGCTGCAATCCTGTTAGTATACAGTGAAAGCTGTCAAAACCAGCAGCTGTCTAATCCAGCAAGTTGTCAACACCGTCATAAAATCTCAGTCCTGTCCCAGGTTAATACATTTATCATCATTTAGAAGCCCTGCAATCCGGCAGCTGTCAATTCCGCATCTCGGCATGCAATGAGCCGCCCGAATATGTGTTTATAACAGTAATCAGTGCTGTCTAATCTGGTACGTAGCGAGGAGTCGACCGAATGTGTATTGTCACCAATTAATCCTGCCTTGAAACTACATGGTTGCCGACAAAGATAATTTAATCTTAGTTCAGTATGGGTATACTTGTACATGTAACTACTGAGTTGAGTTGATGTGTGCAGTAAACATGCTCACAGTGTAATGCTCGCTCTTCTTCTTCGCATAGAGTAATAGAAGCCGCTATTTTGATTTCTCTAAGATTGATTTTAGCAATCTTAAGTTGGTCATGAGCAACTTAGACATTGGATCTTACTTAACGATTGACTTGGGTAAGATTGGGTAGTGGAACGGTATGCCGATCGCAACGTCATGCTAAGATTGAGATTTTAGGGGTTTACGATTGGCGTAGAGCTAAGATCGGTTAGTGGAATGGCACCAACATCATTCCTCTTATCACACACTCACCAGGTGAGACCCCCGTCGCGCCGTCACATCCAGCAACTGGGGGGTTGTACACCCATCTGGGACCAACATCTTCTCCTGCGCTAGGACTGTGCCGACATCAAAACTGTAACAAAATACAATACTGGACATCAGAGACCATCTCCATCATAATGATTCAAGAATACAAAAGGCTTGTTCATTACTCTTGAAACCCCGCACTCGGCAATATTCCAGCTGCACCCTCTGTAAATAATCAAATCTGGACCAGACAATCCAGTGATCAACAGCATGAGCATTAATCAACGCAGTTGTGATACCATGACATGTGTCAACCAAGTCAGCGAGCCTGACAGCCTGATCCTGTTAGTCGCCTCTCACGACAAGCATGGATTGGTGAAAACCAGTTCTAATCCAGATCTTCACGGGTGATATGTAAACTGCAGTCATGCACCATTGAACCATAACATGCACAAATAACAAAAATGTGCAACATTAAATGAATTTATCAAAACTGCAATGAAATCCAATATCTGACAAGAGAGGTCGCTTACGAACAATAACCAGTAGAAGGAATGAATGTGTCTTGTTTACATCACTGTTGCCAAAATTCTTACCACAGTTTTTGAAAATGAAAAACGTTTCTACGCTTATTTTTATTGTATTTCATTTTAATTTCAAAACTTTTTTTCTCTGTGAAAAATGTTTATTTCAGAGACATTGATGTTAATCTGGCGGTGGGGTAGCCTAGTGGTTAAAGCGTTCGCTCGTCACGCCAAAGACCTGGGTTCGATTCCCTACATGGGTACAATTTGTGAAGCCCATTTCTGCTGTCCCCTGCTGTGATATTGCTGGAATATTGCTAAACACGGCGTAAAACTATACTCAGTCAGTCGGTGATGTTAATCTACCAATATTCCAGCAATATGATTACAATCAAACTTAGATTCCCGAAGTGCATGTGTCCCATCACTTTATTTGAATGAGTGAGTGAGTGAGTTTGGTGTAATGCCGCTTTTAGCAATATTCAGTGTTCATGTTAACACAAAAACCTGTGTATTTCACACAAATAAGTCTACATTTGACGCACGACATTTTCTACCTGCTTGTTCTGGATGCAAAGCATTTTGTGTTCTGGGAACAAGTAACCGTAAAACGACATTGCCAAAGGAAACAACAAAATAAAATAATGTATCTCTCGGTAAATTTAATTTGCTAATGATGACAACAAGCTCTAAAATGGAAGGAAATGACGTCTAAGTTTCAAAATTGATACATCTTCACCCTAGAGGAAGAAAAGAACCATCATTTGTCATCATTTCTTTTGTTTAAAACCCAATTTTTTAATTGAAAACGGACATTTGACTGCTCAAAACTCTCACATTCGTTATCTGGACAGACAGGTCACCATAGTGAAACGATTACTACGTCAATTTAACTGAGATCACTCCATCACAATTCCTGTCATACTTAATCAGTATTGACGCCTTCTCCAACCATGAACTGAGAAATATGTCTCTTTTACTCTGATTACCCGTGAAGATCCAGGTTAGAATTGGTCTTCAGTAACCCATGCTTGTTGTAAGAGGTGACTAACGGGATCGAGTGGTAACGTTCGCTGACTTGGTTGACACATGTCATAGTATCCCAAGTGCACAGATTGATGCTCATGATGTTGATCACTGGATTGTCTGGTCCAGACTAGATTATTTACAGACCAGAGCCATATAGCTGGCATATTGCTGAGTGCGGCATTACACAACAAATAAACCAATAAACAAAATAAACAAAACTTTTACTCTGAAATGAGACCTCTGTTCAGATCGGATGACCTCTGACAGAACTTTGACAACTCAACTGTCAGAGTTTCACCCAATCAGATGTCAGATTTCTTTACTACCGCGATTTCAGAAATTTAAACAAAAGTAAACTTACAACATGCCTTTGATCGAGAAGCCATGGAGCATAGTAACAACATCAGCCCTCTATGTTGTAAATTACAGAAAGACCATTTAACCATTATTAAGTATATAGAGAATACTACACGAGGTCTCATTACATATGAATTATACGAAACGAGTGTCCTTCCTATGGTATCCAGCAAAAGCGAGGTCAAATACCATAGGAAGGTCACGAGTTTTGTATAATTCGTATGTAATGAGACCGAGTGTGGTATTTTATTTATTACCCACGTCTAACATGCATTAAATTGACAAAATAGCGTATTTTTGTTATTTTTCTGGTTGTGGAAGAGTTTTGTACTGTAGTACACTATTTGCATGATGTCACACTGTAATGACGTCACTACTTTGGTAACCGATGTCACGATGCATGTCAGTTGTCATTGCCTCGTACAGCCTCCTACAGTAAACTACTCCGTAGCAACCCGTTTCTTGGTTTGCAGTTGCTTCACTCGGCTAACATCACTGGTGCAAACATTGCGTTTATGTTTTTCGACGGATAGAATGTCTCAGTTTGGCTCACAATTAAACAGCAACACGGCAACGTTCGCAATGTTTACATTCCCACAAAGCATATAACTTGTAGAATGAATGAATTCACGTGTTTGTTATGAATGAAAAAATAGTTACGTCAGAATGTGACCTAATTGTGAGGTCATTGATACATTATTAAGGCATATTGATTTGAATACTTTACAATTTCGAAGCCTCGATACTGATTGGCTGATTGTAATATTAACCTGAGACAATCTTTTACAGAAGTGTCTTTTGAGTTTTATGCATAGAGGCATATCTCAATCTAAATGAAGGGAGCTTAACATTTCGAGCTAATCAGATGTCACCTTTCTTATCGACTTCAGTTCGAAATTTAGAGTCTAAGAAATGAGTGACGGCGTGACGAGCGAACACTTTAACCACTAGGCTACCCTACCGCCCCTCTAAGAAATGAAATCCTTTGATGGCGTACACTTATTGATGACATCAGCAGCAATATGATACAGTCATTTATGTTCATTTTCTAGATACAGATACTTCGGAGACACATTCGGAGTATTTAGCATGTTTGATTCAGTCTTGACCCTCACTGGTATAACTGATCTTATATGACCTTGAATGGAAGTGTTTTAAGATCTGTATAATAATCAGATATTAATACAACTGACAATGTGTAATGATGCAGCGCCCTGAAGAAAGGGAGGTAACTGTCAGGGAAAGTAGTGTTTCACCTTTGATGAGCAGGGCAGGAATTTCATACCGACACCAGTGGCTGTTATGATTTATATCCCTTCTAATATCCCCATCTTCAGGCCAACACAGATTTTTATTAAGATATGTAGTGATGTGGCTTCCATAGGCAAAGGGAGGTAACTGTGCTTGAAAGTCACCTCTGCTGAACTTTGCAGGACTGACTGACTGAGTTTAGTTTTACGCCGCTTTTAGCAATATTCCAGCAATATCACGTCGGGGGACACCAGAAATGGGCTTAACACATTGTGCCCATGTGGGGAATCGAACCCGGGTCTTCGGCGTGACGAGCCAACGCTTTAACCACTAGGCTACCCCACCGCCCCTGAACTTTGCAGGAACTACATGGCCTCAATTGCCCTGCATATTTCACACGAACAATGGCACCCCGCCAAGTAGTCTGATCAATAATCAAACACAACAAATTGTATCAGATCTCTAGAACACCTAGCTTCCTTAAAATGGAAAGTCGGGGCGGTGGGGTAGCCTAGTGGTTATTGCGTTCACTCGTCATGCCGAAGACTCGGGTTCGATTCCCCACATGGGTACAATGTGCAAAGTCCATTTCTGGTGTACCCCGCCATGATAATGCTTGAATAATGCTAAAGGCAGCGTAAAACTAATAAAATAAAATTAAACTCACTCACTCTATAAAATGGAAAGTAATTTCTGTTGACCGCCATTGATGTGCACAACAGCCATCATCAGATTATCAGCCATCAAATTTAAGGCCTTTTCAGGGCCCAACCAAAAATATTAGGGACTTTAGAAACACATGTGACACTTTAGTAGTTGAGTGAGTGAGTGAGTGAGTGGGTGAGTTTAGTTTTATGCCACTTTTAGCAATATTCCAGCAATATCACGGCGGGGGACACGAGAAATGGGCTTCACATATTGTACCCATGTGGGGATTCAAA